CTGCTGCTTGATTGTTAGCTGCCAGCGACAGTAGCTTTGTTGACATGCACTAAATAACACAATCGGACTGAGATGTGTTTGGATTAAAAGAAGAAAGTATTCTGAAATCTAAATTACTATATATATTGAAATGTAAATCCTTTGCACTAAGTTTTATTCAGAGAAGAAGCTCTCTGATGTTTGCAGAGTCGACAAATTGTCCAAAAATAAACACGCAAGTTTTGTTCTTCTGCCGACGTGAAACAAAAAACAAAACCACCATCATACCCCAATCCAAATGGCACTCTCTTAAGAGTTTTTTAGATGGACCCTGATCAGATTATGGATTATTAAACTATCAATCCATCCATCCATCCATCCATTTTCTAGCACGCTTATCCCGAGTGGGGTCGCGAGGGGTGCTGGTGCCTATCTCCACTAGTCAATGGGCGAGAGGCGGAGTACACCCAGGACAGGTTGCCAGTCTATCGCAGGGCAACACAGAGACAAAAATTACAACGCACACACTCACACCTAAGGGGACTGTAGAGAAGCCAATTAACCTAACAGTCATGTTTTTTGACTGTGGGAGGAAGCCGGAGTACCCAGAGAGAACCCACGCATGCTCAGGGAGAACATGAAAACTCCATGCAGAAAGACCTTGGGCCGGGAATTGAACACAGAACATTCTTGCTGCAAGGCAGCAGTGCTACCCACTGCGACACTGAGCAGCCGCATTATTTTTTTATTTAGAGATTTAGATTATTAAACTAAATCTCTAACATGTCATTTTGACTGATTGATGGTAATAACTTGATGTTTAAGCTTCAAGTTTTAGTTTGGCATTAAAGTCTGAGTGTAGTCACTGCCCTGTCCAGGATTAACTGGGCAGATATCTGAACTAATGTTTCAAGAATCAATTCTTTATCACCAATTTGTAACTATAATGAGATTCAGGTGAGACTTCAACTCAGACTGCATATATAATACGCAGAAGAAAACAACAAGAGAAGTATACAGGTGCTGGTCATAAAATTAGAATATCATGAAAAAGTAGATTGATTTCAGTAATTCCATTTAAAAAGGGAAACTTGTATATTATATTCATACATTACATACAAACTCATATATTTCAGATGTTTATTTTGTTTAATTTTGATGATTACAAATGACAACAAATGAAAATCTCAAATTCATCATATCAGAAAATTAGAATATTACTGAAGACCAATAAAAACAAAAGATTTATAGAAATGTTGGCCAACTGAAAAGTATGAACATGAAAAGTATGAGCATGTACAGCACTCAGTATTTAGTTGGGCCTCCTTTGGCCTGTATTACTGCAGCAATGCGGCGTGGCATGGAGTCGATCAGTCTGTGGCACTGCTCAGGTGTTATGATAGCCCAGGTTGCTCTAATAGTGGCTTTTAGCTCTTCTGAATTGTTGGGTCTGGTGTATTGCATCTTCTTCTTCACAATACCCCATAGATTTTCTATGGGGTTAAGGTCAGGAGAGTTTGCTGGCCAATTAAGAACAGGGATACCATGGTCCTTCAACCAGGTACTGGTAGCTTTGGCACTGTGTGCAGGTGCCAAGTCCTGTTGGAAAATGAAATCTGCATCTCCAAAAAGTTGGTCAGCTGCAGGAAGCATGAAGTGCTCTAAAACTTCCTGGTATGTGGCTGCGTTGACCCTGGACCTCAGAAAACACAATGGACCAACACCAGCAGATGACATGGCACCCCAAACCATCACTGACTGTGGAAACTTTACACTGGACTTCAAGCAACGTGGATGAAGTGCCTCTCTTCTTTTCCTCCAGACTCTGGGACCTTGATTTCCAAAGGAAATGCAAAATTTACTTTCATCAGAGAACATGACTTTGGACCACTCACCAGCAGTCCAGTCCTGTTTCTCTTTAGCCCAGGCAAGACGCTTCTGACGCTGTCTGTGGTTCAAGAGTGGCTTGACACAAGGAATGTGACAGCAGAAACCCATGTCTTTCATACGTCTGTGTGTGGTGGTTCTTGAAGCACTCACTCCAGCTGCAGTCCACTCTTTGTGAATCTCCTCCACATTTTTGAATGGGTTTTGTTTCACAATCCTCTCCAGGGTGCGGTTATCTCTCTTGCTTGTACACTTTTTTCGACCACATCTTTTCCTTCCCTTCGCCTCTCTATTAATGTGCTTGGACACTGAGCTCTGTGAACAGCCAGCCTCTTTAGCGATGACCTTTTGTGTCTTGCCCTCCTTGTGCAAGGTGTCGATGGTCGTCTTTTGGACAACTGTCAAGTCAGCAGTCTTCCCCATGATTGTGTAGCCTATAGAACTAGACTGAAAGACCATTTAAAGGCTTTTGCAGGTGGTTTGAGTTAATTAGCTGATTAGAGTGTGGCACCAGGGGCCATCAATTTTGAACCTTTTCACAATATTCTAATTTTCTGATATGATGAATTTGAGATTTTCATTTGTTGTCATTTGTAATCATCAAAATTAAACAAAATAAACATCTGAAATATATGAGTTTGTATGTAATGTATGAATATAATATACAAGTTTCACTTTTTAAATGGAATTACTGAAATCAATCTACTTTTTCATGATATTCTAATTTTATGACCAGCACCTGTATATCATCTTTTACTGTAAATGGAATCACAATCTTAAACACCCTTTAAATAAAAACAAGGTATTGAAAAGGAAACTCTTTGGACGAAAATGAGAACAGAAATATGTAGATGGTGATGTAGCATGTAAAATAAAGTGCAGCTTTCGCTAAAACATTCAATGAAATGTGATGCTGGTTTATTTGATTTTCAGCATCCTTGGTCGTTACTCTGGTTGCTCTGTGGTGCCAGTCGAGTTCACCCACACGGCATTTGACACGACAATTTAAAGGACCTCTGTTCTGCTGGGTCAGAATGGCCTAGTCAAAGTCTTGAGCTAAATCCAAAGATGCATTGTGTTGCTCAACTACATCAAAAATATAAAACACATTCAGCTTTGTTTTTTGTTGTGACACTAGGTTGAAAAAGTTCAATGTTTCGGAATCTCCGTCGTCCACGTTGCGAGGCAGTGCAAGGAATGTCTGCTCATACAAGTTGCTGTTTTTTTCTCTATCCTGTCATCCCGCCGCAAAACTCCACGCTTGTTTACAGTGAAATGTCCTCCTTGTTCACCTTCACCTCCCTCCCTTTTTCAGCACTGCGCTACGTGACGTACATACTGTATAGTTTTACCATATTGCTGCACTGAACCGTGAGAGGTCATTGGCCAGGTTTGAAGTTGTAGTTAACTCCTGAGATGATTTGCTCCCTGAACGCCCAAGCTACTCAGGCACCTGCCAAGCCAAGCTTCTTTAAACAAAAAGGCAACCTATTCAACCACTGCATAAGCAGCCAAGCAGGCAGACAGTGGAGGCAAACAAAGGGACAAAAGAAAGCTCATTCTAGACAGAGAGGACTTTAAAAATAGGAACATCCGAATGGGACTTCTTTCAAAAGTCTTAAATCAGCTGAACCTAAAGTACAAACCAGGATTGGATTTAATCCAGAAACTTTTATAGTCCACTTTCAATGAAACCATAATTCTGTCCTAAAAAGCTTGTTTCATGGCTAGTTAACATATCATCGTTGTACGGCTCACACAATGTCATTAAAGTGCCAGTTATGGAAAAGATGTTTCTGAAAATAACTTTTTCTTTCCTTTAAGTTATTCGAAAAGTTGGTATCATGATTAAAAAGAAATAAAAACATAAACTGACACAGCAAGCTTCACTTGTTCATCTAGTAATTGAATGCGTCGTCAAACACCCGAGTTGTTGTACTGCACCTTCAGCTTTTATTAGCAAAGCTCGGATGAGATGAAGTTAAGTCGATAGCCTTGCCCAGTAAGAAAAAGTGGAAAAAATGCAGGTGGTTCCACAGCCAGGCACTGATATGCTTAAGTCACAGGGTGCTCTGACTCTCAAAGCCTCCACTGCCAATTCCTTATTTTGAAACGCGAACAAGTCTTTAACAATGCCCCTCTCTGTGATCCGGGGGAAAAGGAGAAAATCTATTATTGATTTCCTCCTGGTTTAGGTAGAAAAAAAAACCCCGAAAGCAATGCTGAATGGTGCTACAGTGCACTGCGCTATAGCCTCGCACATTCATCGCCGGTGGATGGTATGAGGGGGCATGTCAACAAAGCCCCTGACTACTCCACCGTGCCATCTGCACATGCTGAATATTTAATTGTCGACAGAACCGCTCAAGACCAGTAATCAAGAAAAGAAAAGATAATACGCATCATGAGGAGCTTGTGTGACAGTTCCTGCATGATTGGAATATGGCTTATTTCTTCAATCACCCATTGTTTCAGTGCTAATTGTGACAATTTCTGCATGCATACAGCACAATAAAGATATTTCTAAATCACTCATGTCATTCAGTCTCATTCAACTCCGGATGTGACAAAAGAACTTCGACTTGTAATTCAGCCAGTAAGTGTAATTCATCACTGTCAGCTGGGAGTCTCCATTCAGCTCAGAAAAGAAAATGTATTCAGGCAAATATCAGCCTAATCAGTTAAAAATAAAACTTGCCCTTTTATATTACTGTGTGCTACCACCGACATTTTAACAGCAAACAAAAGACAGGGGGATCTTGATTATTTTCATCCAGCCTATAAGAATATCTTACAAACTGCCTTAAACAGACAGGAAGGCTCGACTTATACCGCTGCTGAATAAAGCTGCAGAAACCGAAAACCAGCACAATGAGGAAAACAAGACGCCGCAGCATGGTAAAACGCAGAAATAAAAAAAAAAAAAGATCCTTTATTCCTGGTGAAAAGTTTCCCTCATTCATTTGTAGCTTTAACCGCTTTGGTTAAACAACAGAACCAAGCTGAAAACAGCGCATGCAGCCGTGATGTTTGTGTCCCTATTTGAAGGCTGTGTAAGCACAATAAAACTTAGCAGGCAAAATGAAGTATGATCATTTTCTAGCAGGACTGTTGGGGGAGAAATTCATTCTTACCTTAGGCTGGGCCCGTCGGGGAAAGGCAACCTTAGGATCAATCTGAAAACCAGAACACAAAGACACATTTGTTGAGGATGGAGGAGCTGTGGCCGCAAAAGTACAACAACAACAACTGCTCACACTTTCTGTGATCAAGAATAATATTTCATTACATTTAATAGCAGTTCAAAAAAAAAGAAAAAGATAAAATACAGCAATGTTGCTCTGAATGAAAGCATTACAAAAAGATCACAGTCAACAAAAGGCTATTGGGGAACATTTAATGGACAGATGACACCAAAACACATTTTTAGGTTTGCATAAATAGCTCTGTGACAGTATAACATTTTCCAGTATATTCATTTTATCCCATCAGTAAAACACAATAGAAGCAGCATCATGGTTTCATCATATTTATGAAAAATAGGAAGCAAATAAACGATACTGAAACTGTACTATTCTGCCTGAATGAATAAATTCAAGCTAAAATGGAAAAGAAAATAACATTATCCCATGCAGTAAAACAGCAGTGGTTGCATCTTAAAAATTTATTTATTGTAAAGATAAGAATAAAACATATTTTTATTTCTTTGAATAAAGAGCTCTGTTTGGGAGAAATACAAAAATGCATCCCATCATTAATGCCTATTCTGGTGGTATTACGCCTCGACGCTAATTTACACATTTGCATGGCACTGACAATATTCATTTTGTTACTTTGTAGTCATGTATTTGATTTGGGGGAATGGGTTGATACAGATAAGACCAAAATAAATTTTTATTTCTCCTTAACCAATATTTCTATGTCACAAGAAAACAGCGGATAGTAGTAATGAAGGCTACGTCATATTTTTAAACAACAGGTGAGACAAAAACTGACTTTTTTCATTCGTCAAGACCTCTCTGACTTATTATTGTTACTATTATTAAGTCTACACACTGTTTGGTCGAAGAATCTCTGTAGAAAAGTCATATTATTCCTTATACAACTTTTTTAGACAACTTTTAATGTCATTTTGTATACACTGAGTGTATAGAAAATGAAAGTTAATTTTGTACAGCTCTCATGATCTTTCCAATTCTTAAAGTGCAGCAGTGATCAAATGTAAACAGTGAGGGAGTAGAAAAAAAAACATGGTGCAAAAAAAAAAAGCACTGATATGAAAGTTAAGAGCATTAATATATATGGTGCAATTTTGCAGTGTTGTGGTTTGGTGTTGTCAGTTCCAATGTCAACAGATGCCTTGCCTAACAACTCAAACTGTGCTTTTCAGAGCACAAAAATAACCTAAATTCCAGAGGTGAAGCTGATTAACTAAAGTTGCTTCAATCTAATGTAAAACATTAACTGAGAGTAAAAAGAAAAGCTAAAGAAACTCACACAGAATAGGGCAACATAGCGTCATCATCTATATTTTACTCTGAGCCTAAACTACAAATTTTCAACTCAAAAGGTTGAAATCATTATGTTTCCAGAAATACTAAAAAACATTTAGGCACACCAGTTAACTGGTACTTTGCTATCTAAATTGTTTCTTTAGGTTTATAATTAATTGAACTGGTGGACGCACAGCCTTCTTATGTTTTAGATGTAAACCAAAAATGCAGTTATAGTTTTGAGAATTACAGCCATTACGCTGTGAGAGCTTATAAGAGGCAAGTCGTCACAGGAACATGAGAAGTTTTGTCTGTAACGTAGTCTGATTTGACAAAGTGAACATTCCTAATACTTCCGCAGCCTAATTAATGTTGCAGTTCATTTTCTCAAACAACACATTGATTCTGGATTCTCTGCAGCCGTTCACAGAGCCTTGCTGCAATTGAACAATTCAGCAAAACAAATGGCAAACAGCACTTAAATGTTGTAGTATATTAAATCACTTCCTAATTCAGTGTACAGTCCCCATCTCAAGTTCATTTGCAAACTGCTATGTAATGCACCGTTTTAAAGGCCTTATCACTCAGTACATTAATCCCTACCACATAACAGCCTGGTATTTAAATACACTGATGACCTACTACTTTACCTGGCTCCTTAGAAATGATCCAGGTACACAGATGTGCAGAAAAAAACTGGCTTAATTAGGAGAAGTTAGGGTTGTCACTCATCAGGACAAAAGCATGTAAAGAGAAATGACCATTACCACTGACCTCATTACTTTACGCTGCTAATTATCTACAACGGAAGACGCTCACGGAAACATTTCAGGCACAGCATTTATTCCACTGAGCAACGTACTTTGTGAAACCACATCATCATTACTAATAATTACTGTGTGTGTCTTTAGACTGAAACATTCATGCTACCACATGATCCATCGGCCATGAAAGCCTTATCAAAAAAAATAAATAAAGTGAGCAGACCAGCCACACCAAATGTCCTGCTGGTCATGGTCACGCCACAGATTCGCTTTTTATTTTTAGGCAGGAATCGCTGATTGAATATGACAGGAAGAAAATGAGAGTCTGCGGCCCGGTGACGCCTCTAGATATTGCCAAATAACCGGGAGGACGCGTCAGATCAGCCCGTTTCTCCATCTTGTGCTTGTTATCTCATTAGCTTCATTTTCCTCATTAATTTCTGTGGTATGAAGGTATGTTGTGGTGGTGGTGGGTGGAGGAGGGGGTCTCATCAACCTTGCACTTACAGTGAAGAGCAGTGAACTGCCTCAAACCACACAGCCCCCCTAAATTGTCCTTGGTTGAATGCAAACAACATTAAGAAGGAACATCTCCCTGTTATTTGTCTCATGGAAACCTTTTTAACGAGGTGCTGCGTTTTCTTATGCGTGATACTTAAATACATCTAAATGGGGAAGAAATTCTTTGCATTTGAGAAATTGACTCCATCGGTGCAGATGGATTTATTCAAGAAAACGATAACACACCCTGCTGAGGGGAACAATTGAAAGAAAAGACACCACCTGCATGGATCAATTAAGCCATTGAGACTGACTGCATTTTAATCTGTTTGAAGGGAATCCATGATGTGCAATGTCACTGTCATCTTTTCTGCCAGTCTCACTTATTACCGTTATCGTTCTAAATCGGGTCAGAATGAGAAATGAATTCAATAACACCTGGGCACGGTAACCCCGCTTGTAATAAATTTCATTTAAAGATTTGTTTTAGCACTTAGCCTCAGGCATAACCAATTCAAACTCAATTATTTTTTTTTCCTTGCACCCCGTTTGAGCAAAGACAACAGATTATGTTCTGAATACAAAAGTCCTATAGTTAGTTATGTCTCCCACTTTTAAGGTTTACCTTCTGATAAAAGAAAATATATAAATGTATCAAATCTTTTGTTTATTTAAACTAATTTGCTGAGATGATAACCAGTCTTGCTGCAAAATGGAGCGATAAACAGTGAGAATCAAGGTCAGGTTTCTGCAGAAAGAGGGAACAACTAAATGCACAAAATATCACCTAAATCATTCCTTAATTGTTAAAATCCTTTCTAAAGCAAAGACATAAAAACAGTGAGAACCTCCTATGGAATCTTTATAAGAACTCCATACAATGATGTTTCTAAGGCTGTACATTTATTTGATAATAAGAGCTAGTATATGCATTATGATTAGGACAGGCTAATCTAAGCACCAAGCCTGAAATGTTGTGTCAGTTTCACCTGATACTTCCTTCCTAGAGCTTTTTTCTTGGTTATGTAAGACACTTTAGGTTTAGGAACAGCTAAGTGGACCAGCAGTGCATTTGTTTCACCGGTAATACATGCTCTTCCAAGTGTTATTGCACTCAGATGGGTTTTTTTTTTCTATTAAACATTTTGAATAGAATTTTAATAAAGCATAATTAGCATATGTTTGATTTTTTTTGTCTCAATAGATATATTTTTTTGACATCTCTGATTATTTCACAGATATGGAAAACCCAAAAGGATTGGGTATGTTCTGTGAAATTAAATTTAAGGGTTAAAATGAAGGGATTTGGAAGAATAAAGAAAATATAGAGTTTCAAAGAAAAATATTTATAACTAATAGGTTAGTTACAAACATGACCACGTTAAGACATCCAGAAATATCTTTGTTGCGTGGACAACTTTTGAACTTTCACGTTTAAACCACATTTACCCTTTATTTAAATGGTTTTGTCCATTTGACAAAAATTTATTCACCTTAAAAAATGTCAAGAGAAGAAATTGGACTTGGAGTAAACAGTTTGCTTTGGCCTATATGGGAAAATGAGACAACAATAACCAACAGTCACTGACAGGCATTACTGGAACTGAAGGTAGAATTGGAACGTGTTTTTGTTGTTGTTCACTAATGTTCAGCAAAATTACCGTTTTTTTAGCTAGGGCAAAATCTTTTAATGTGTTCCCAGTAAATGACATGCTTTTTTTATTTAGTGAAAAAATATTTTATCTCACACATAGATTTGGGTATTATTATTACCAGCAGCTGTTATCTACAGCTGTCTATAAAACGTACGGGGTTCTTTTTTCCCATTTATTCAATTACTCTAGCAATCTCATGGTAGCAGAACCTGTTATGTACAATTGACTGGCATCCACTAATGTGATGCCATTTTCAAAGAGCTCTGCAATTACAGTATGTGTGGCTTTTTGCAACGTGAGTGCCTCAGATAAATCTTAACTATCTAACCAGTCTACACGGTTCAGTTCATGCAGAGCACATAGGCACGATTACCGACGTGGTAATGATGTGTTACTGGTGAGGCACCTTCTGCAGCTGTAGCCTAAAGCAAAGAGAGTCTTTCCAGTGAATCACTTTAATATATTTGCTCCAACTCCATATGGTTCATCAATAGAAGACGTTCTCATATCAGCTTCTGATACAGCTTTGTTATATAAACTCTCAAAGAGCAAAAGTGGATTTCCTGGAGACATCATACAACCTGATATGTCAACATAATAAATGGGAGCAGACCAAAAGGAATCCCCCACCAAACCAACCAGCTTTTATCTTTTCTCTGCGTTTTACCAGACGGTCTCCGAGGGCTGCTTTTTGCATGAACCTTTGGGAGATCGGGGCATAGAACCAGTACATATCTTAAGTTCACATCATACAAAAGGATTT